TGTTCTGGGCAAAGTGGTACCCAATGCCAATTTACCCAATGTGATTGGTTCAAAACCATCAGATACTCAAAAACAAACGCCAACTACACAACAACAAGTCCCTCAAAGTTCCTCACAAAACGTGCCCCAAGTTGCCAATGATATGGCAGAGGGTGAAACTACTCGAAATATTCCCACACTGAATCAGCCTGTCGTTGATCAAGCTAAGGTTTTATCTGCAGCTGAAAAGCAAAATATAGAACAACAAATTCGTGATATATATCGCCAAGGCAAAGCGCAAATCGGCATTATTATTGTACCAACCACGGGGCAAGAAGGTATTTTTGATTTCGCAATGCGTGTTGCTGAGCAATGGAAGTTAGGTTCAGCAAAACAAGACAATGGTTTATTGATTGCAGTCGCAGTTAATGATCAAAAAATTCATATTGCAACAGGTTATGGTTTAGAAGGAGTGCTTCCTGACATTATGGTCAGTCGAATTATACGCAATCAAATCACCCCCGATTTTAAACAAGGACAATATGCTCAAGGCTTACAGGCAGGTGTCAATGAGATTGAACGTATCTTAAATCTTGACCCTGAAATTGCCAAACAAGCTGCAGACGAGCTAAAAGCGCGGCAAACTCAAGCACTGCAAGAACAAGAAGCTAGGGACCGAACCTTAACCACTGCGATGGTGATTTTGGTGATTGGTATCTTTGCATCATTTATTGTGGGTAATCGTTTAAGTGCAGCAGTTGCGGGTGTGACAGCAACCGCTGCCGGGCTTATTTATGGTTCAGGGATTGTGATGAGTCTGGTTTTGGGTTTTGGTATATTCTTCTTGTTGATTACATCATTGGCACAACTCATTTTCCAAATGTTTCTATCAGGCGGTGGGCGTGGTGGAAGCAGTGGAGGAGGGGGCGGTTTCGGCGGCGGTGGCGGTTATAGTGGCGGCGGTGGCGGTTTTGGCGGTGGAGGAGCATCAGGCTCATGGTAACAAAGACAGATACAACAGCAATTGTGACTGAACCGAAGTTACAGGAGCAGGTACAACCCAGCTTAAAACGTTGGTTAAAACACGTTTTATATATGCCGGCATCGAAACGTTATTTTTCAAAGCAAGATCAACAAGTCATTGCACAAACTGTGACGCAAGCTGAACAAGGTCATGTCGGCGAAATACAAGTGGTGATTGAGGGGCATATTCCAAGTCATCAGGCCTATCATCAAAATACACGTTTAAGAGCACAGCAATTGTTTGCTGAATTGGGTGTGTGGGATACTGAGTATAATAGTGGCGTGTTACTGTATTTAAACTTGTGTGAAAAAAACGTAGAAATTGTGATAGATCGTGGTATTTATCAAGCAAAAACGCAACAAATATGGCAACAGATTTGTGATGTGATGATTTTAGAGTTAAAAAACAAAAATTATCGAACTGCGGTCACCAATGGTGTCTTAGAGATTGGTCAAATTTTAAATTTATTTTACGGTAACCAATATAGTCAGGTTGCCAATGTTAATGAGTTAACAAATAATCCAATCATTGTGAATTAATCTGGTTTTTGGTGACAATAAATGTCACTTTTTTACGTATAATTACGTAAAAATATAAGCGGCAAAAAAAAACTTGTAAAGCGTTACATTCTCTCTAAAATCAAAGAGTCTCGATTGGTTGTTGATTTTTTCCACAAAAAAGCAACCATATAAATTGCTCTAAAAGCTATAAAAATTTTTAAAACATTGGAGAAATGTTATGAAATCAGTTCAAAAGGGTTTTACCCTTATCGAATTAATGATCGTTGTTGCAATCATTGGTATTCTTGCTGCGATTGCGATTCCTGCTTATCAGGATTATACACGTAAAGCTGGTGATAAAGCATGTTTAGGTGAAGCGAAAGGAATTGCTAATGTTGCTTTAATTTCTTTCTCTGAACAAACTTCTATGCCAGCTGTTGTTTGGGCTGCATGTAGCGGTACAGGTACTACTCTTCCAACGGGTGGATCAATTCCGACGGCTGCGCCAAACTTTACTATTAAAGCTAAACTACCAGGTACAGGCACTATTGAATGTGGTCCATCGGGTACTTGTAAGATTCAGTAAATAGTTTTTTAAATGGCTCTAAAAAAGTAGTAGTGTAAATCAGTTGAGTCAAAAAAATACGATAAAAATGAGTGTATGTAAATATGCTCTTTTTTTTATAAATTTATTGATTTCAACTAGATTAAACAAAATTTGATACAGGTAAATAAAGCATTTATTATTTGCTAGAGAAAACTATTTACTGAACATGACGTTTGGGTAATGATTATATTTCCTTTATTTAGTGATAAACCTCAGACCTTACTTTATTTAATTGAGCTTATTTCTTTGCGTTTTTATTAGAGTTAAAGTAATAAACTGAATAAAATAAGTGGCTTATTATAGATGCGTGTAATTTTGGGTATAAGGTTGTAAAGCATAATTCAAATAATAATTTTCATATTAAGATGTTTGTTTTATCTAGAGCAAGAAAGTTCATGCCTTTTATTATTGGATGTAGAGCTTTCACGGAGTATACATAGAATTGGTTTATCATTAGTTATGATTGCAAAACATATTAGGATGACAACTGAAATTTATCGCAGAGTGAGCAAAGGTGAGCCTTTTAAGGATTAGATATTATATTACATAATAATATATTGAAATGTAGCTTATTAGTGTATGCACACAATTTCCAAAACAGTTAGAGCATTTATTAGAAATTATATGTTTTACGCGAAAAGAAAGCGGAGATTCTGCCTTTAAGCCGTTAAGGTGGAACCGTAAAATACTCATAGAAAAGTACGAATCTGTTTAACTAGAAGGTATTACTAGGAGAGGGATTTTTTATGAGAACTCAAAGATTTAAGGTTAATAAAATGAATATAAAAATTAAAGGCTTTAGTGTTGTTGAGTTGTTAATTGTAATTACCATAATTGGTATACTTACTGCGATTGTTATTCCTTTATATTTTCAATATCTCCAGAAATCTACAATTAATGCTTGTTTATATGAGGTGAAAGGATATGCGAATCAATCTATTTATCGGTTAAGTGATGAAGATTCTCAAACACTTCCATTTGCACCTACGTTATCAGCCTGTTCGTTTATCACGGACGCTTCACAATGGGATGAGACAAAAATAAATCAAGTTATAGAGGCTAAAAGTAAAAATTCACCTACAATTGATATTCGATGTAATCTCCGTAAAGGTGCCAATTGTATTAAGATTTGAAAATAATAATTTAATATTATTATAAGTATATATACTATTTATATTATAAACTGAAGTTTGGTGTTATGAAAAAAAATTTATTTTCATTAGCTTGTATACTGATCTTGTTATCTTGGTTGTTTCCTATACATGCTGTCCCATGGACTACATTTCATAGTGAGTTACTCGCTTTTTTGTCAGGGTTGTCTTTGGTGGCTGGATTGTCTTATTCAGAAATAAAAATACCAAAGCCTCAAATACTTGCCTTACCCATATTATTTATTCCTTTAATTCAGTGGGGGTTCGGTCAAATTCTTTATTTTAGTAATGCATTGTTGTGTACTATTTATATTGCAATGTTTTGGCTAATGGTTGTCGTTGGTTATAACTTAGCAATAGGTGAAAAAAGAAAAAGAGAAAAGGTTTTTAAAATATTCTGCTTCGTGGTGTATGTTGGTGCAATTATTTCAAGTATTATTGCAGTTTTTCAATGGTTAGGAATTAGTGAGTATTTTAGTCCATGGTTAAATGTTTTGAGAGGAAATCGTCCATATGCAAACTTTGCACAACCGAATAATCTAGCTACTTTTATCTGCATAGGGCTATTTGCTTGCTTATATTTCTATGAAAAGAAAATAATCTCAAATATGATTTTAATCTCAACTACATTTATTTTTTTATTGACTATTGCATTGACCCAGTCGCGTACAGCTTGGGTTGTGTGTATATTTACCTTTTTTTATTTAATGATTAAGCATTTTGGTAAAAATAGACGCTTTGGTTTTGTGAAATTATTGGCTTGGGTTGGGATATTTATTACTTTAATAGTTTGTTTACCTATATTTAACCAATGGCTTGTATCATTTGCTTCACAAGACATAATTCAAACAGCGACTGTTGCACAAAGAGCTTCTTCTGGTTATTTACGCTTAGATATATGGAACCAAGCTTTAGTTGCGATTACTCAGCAGCCATGGTTTGGTTATGGGTGGAATCAAACGGGAATAGCGCAAATTTCTGCTTTTGATTCTTATCCTTCGCATGAATGGTATAATACAGCACACAACGTAATTCTAGATTTACTGATTTGGAATGGTATTCCAATTAGCACTATAATAGTTTTTTTTATGATAATATGGTTGTTTTGGCTTAATTGTAGTGTTAAAGAGCCCGTTTCAATTGCTGCTAGTTTGATGGTTTTTGCTATCCTGATTCATGCTCTATTGGAATATCCTATTCATTATGCCTACTTTTTATTGCCACTTGGATTTTTGCTTGGAATTATTCAAGCACAATATATTGATTTATCATCACTAACTTTGAACAAGATTTTATTGCCAATTTCTTTATTTGGAGGGGTAATATTAATTATTATTATTAATAGAGATTATGAGCTTTATCGTAAACAAAGCTTAATAGTTACTCGTGGTTTTGCATTGAATGACGAAGAGAGAGAAAGTTTTACAAAGAAAATTATTGTACTAGATCAACTTCGTGAACGTGTATGGTGGATTGGTTTTAATCCACATAGCAAAGTGTCTGATCAACAACTTGAGCATATCGGAAGAATGGTGTCTAATCTTGCTTCTAGATACGATATTTATAAATATGCACAAGTTTTGGCATTTAATGGTAAGAAGGCTGAGGCTGAACACCAGTTATGGGTTTTAAAAATATTGCATGGTCAAGAAAAGTCATATCAGGATTTATTACCTATATCAATTGCAGAAAAATAAAATTCTTCTATTTATATTATTAAATCACACATGGCTATGTTATCGTGCGGAAACAAAAAAATTGAAATTGGGTAGAGTGCATCCTTGATCCAACAGAAGATTTTTCTCGCTTTTCATCTTTGAAAAGTGAGATATTGCCTATGTAAACTGTTTGACTTGGGTTTGATGGGGTAACCTTATTTTGTAATTAAGTTTATTGGGATTTAAATATTAACCCGCGATTACTGCTAGAATATTTACCATACTATTTTTGTTTAAGAATAACAGAAGCAGGATTTAGACAGATCTTTTGCTTTTCACCATTGATTATACAGCATTTGATATTGCTAAACTCATAGATATTTTGATGTGCACCATTAATATAATTTAAGTAAAAATAATAATAAAATACAAACAATTATCTCCTTTTGATGGCGTTTTTATCTGAATAAATTTAACTTTAGTGCTTGTCATATTTGTAATAAACGAATGTGTGGTGTATGAGAAAAACAATTATATTGGACTACTTGAGTCCGATGGGGTGTAAAGGGTTCTTTCTGATTTTTTCAAGTTATCTGCGACCATATAAAACTTAATTTTGTAATCAAAACTGATAGTTGTAGATGTTAAGATGATTTAGTTAATATTGGTTTCGATAAGCGCATTTGATAGTTAATCATTGGAACAATAAATTTGTTAGTAGTGAACCCCATATTAACGGTATGGAATTATTTGAAAACTATGTAAAAAAGGGAATAACTAATTTGACAAAAAAATATTTTATTTGTATTTAAAAGGAAGGGATACTGCTTCAATCATCTACAGTGTAATCTAGAACTTGACTTAAACAAAGGTGCAAACTGTACAATCATTTCTAAAACAAAAAATATTGGAAGCGCTATAATAGGCCCAGTTTTTCTGTTCACTTTTCCTATGAAAGTCATTCCTTATCTTCTTTCAGCCGTATTGCTTTTACTTGCGTGGCTTTTACCTATTCATAAAATGCCATGGACAACCTTTGGTAGTGAAGCACTTACTTTTCTATCGGCTTTGGTGCTACTCAGTGCTTTTCTAAATAAAGATTTAAAAATTCCAAAGCCACAAGTGCTTATATTACCTGTATTGGCAATTCCATTGATTCAATGGGGGGGTGGCGAGATTTTGTACTTAAGTAATGCATTGCTTTGTACAGCCTATATTGCGATGTTTTGGTTGATGCTGGTTGTTGGTTATAACTTGGCAGTAGGTGAAAAAGGTCAAAGAGAACAAGTCTTTAAAGTATTTAGCCTTGTGGTTTTTACGGGTGCGATACTTTCAAGTTTTATTGCAATGACCCAGTGGTTAGGCTTAAACGAATATTTTAGGCCATTGGTCAATTTGCTAAATGGTAATCGCCCGTATGCAAACTTTGCCCAGCCGAATAATTTGGCGACATTTATGTGTATGGGGGTATTTGCATGTTTATATTTTTATGAAAAGAAGATGCTGCCAAATTACATACTCGGACCCTCAACTTTTATTTTTCTATTGACCATTGCATTGACCCAATCTCGTACGGCTTGGGTGGTGTGTTTGTTCACATTGATTTATTTGACTATCAAGCAATTCGGTCAAACTAAACGCTTTGGTTTTGTAAAATTGCTCGCATGGTCTGGTGTATTTATTGCGTTGATTACATGCTTGCCAATGTTTAATCAATGGATTGCATCTGTATCAACTCAAGATGTAGCACAAGCAGATTCAGTGGTCGAGCGAGCAACATCAGGTTATCTCCGTTTAGATATGTGGAGTCAAGCCCTAGTCGCGATTTCAGAAAAGCCGTGGTTTGGGTATGGTTGGAATCAAACAGGGATGGCGCAAATTGCCGCTTTTGATTTATATCCATCACATGAATGGTATAAAACGGCACATAACGTGATTTTGGATTTACTGATTTGGAATGGTATTCCGATTGGTGGATTGATTATTGTTTATATGGCATGTTGGTTGTATTGGTTAAATAAAGGCAAACTATTAAAGTAATAAATATCCCAACCCAAGCCAATAATTTCACAAAACCAAAGCGTCTATTTTTACCAAAATGCTTAATCATTAAATAAAAAAAGGTAAATATACACACAACAGTGTATGGTGGATTGGCTTTAATCCATATAGCAAAATGTCGGATCAGCAGTTGCAATATATGGGGCGTATGGTGGCGAACTTAGCTTCTGCCTATGATATTCAGAAATATGCACAGGTTTTGGCTTTTAATGGTAAAAAAGTTGAAGCTGAACATCAGTTATGGATTCTGAAGACACTGCATGGGAAAGAGAAGTCATATCAGGATCTATTGCCTGTATCTGCTGTAGGAAAATAAAATTCTTTTTTACTTTTTGCATTGTTGAATCATTGATGGTTATCCTATCGCGGGGCGACAGGGATGTCGCCGTTGGGCGGGGGATAGGCGTATTCCTCGCCCAACATGAGCAAAAATAAAGCACAGCTTTGTTTGCAGCGCAAGGTTTGGCATCTCCGCTACGAAAAGTGAGGAATCGCCTACGCAAAGATATTTAAACTTTGAATGTAAGGTGTGGCAGTGAAAGCTTTATATGTTCAACCATGCTTAATGATCAATAGAAGTGACTTGATTCAGATCATTGATCCAAAATGAAGCTTATATTTTGGTGTATGCGTTTTTGATAGGTTGACTATCGTATTTTGTATTTGAAATAAAAAATCCCCCAATCAATTAGGGGGATTTTTTTAATGGTATTTAAAAATTATAGTTGGCTTTGAATATAATTTTCGATACCGACACTTTCACTTAAATCCAGTTGGGTGGTTGTCCAATCCCAAAACTCTTCTTCTTTCTCAAGAATCTCTTGA